TTTCATAAATATTCTAAGACGCTCAATGAGATTAAAGAACTGAGAAAATTTTATGTGTCATGCGATATTGGAAAGTTATTATATTATCATTTATTTATTTAGGTCTACAAATTATGTGTAACTTGAACCTCTGATAAAAACATTTCATGAAAACACAAATTAAAATAAAAAAAGATGAAACCTCTTCAACTTTACACGATTACTGAAAAATTATTCACTTGAATATTACAAATGTACTTTAAAAAAACAACAAATTTGCAACCTGCCTTAGATTTACTTGGTATAATCGTTTTAGAACTTTCAATTCGTTTATTTATAAAAGTCATTGAATAATGGACGTTTGGAAATGCAGTAAGTGCATAAAAATGTTGTAGAAAAGCTCCTTCGTATTTTTTTGAGAAATGTTGTTTATTTCAATGGTAATTTTTAAAAATACAATTTTTACTTATTGGTCATTAGTATTTCAATATAACTATATTATTTATTTAATTTAGTAAGGCCTTGTTTTGATACACAGGGTGTATCATAAGTATTCATATTCATATGTGACAAGCGGTTTAATTCATAAGCATAATATTCATAATTCATGAGGTCTATTGTGATACATAAATGCTCCTAAGAAATACTAATTATGAGATTCCAAAATATTTTTTATTTGGAGGAAAATGAATATTTTTCTTTTTCTTCGTAAACAACGTTTTTGAAAACAGACACAAGATATACTGTTGTATACATTACTATGCCAAGAGAAATTCAAATCGTTTCTATTTATTTATGGAATATTCTCTATTATTCTAAGGGGACTTCGGTCCCAGATTAAAATCGTTTTTCATAAAAATTATTTTTCATTTCATTTCAATAATGTCTTACAAGTAGATCAAGAAACACCCACCACAAATACCTTAACGTTTATTTTGATTAATCATTATACTTATATATTTAAAATATAAGATATTATATATTACAATATATTTTAAATAAGTCACATCATTTAAATTATGAATAAATATTTTAGGCCAGCTTTGTGATTAGTGTTGCACAAATGCGAGACCCAGACGAGTCTTGGTCTTGCAAACTCAGTTTCGTCATGGTCTTGGTCTTGCACAAGAGTCTCGCAACAGTCTGTATTTTGTAGATAGGAGAAACCTAACTAAGCCTGAATGAAAAATTAGAGGAATTAAATGCAAAACTATATTGGTTATACAAATTATTTACATATAGTAACTAAGATTGTCGAATATTAGTAACTATTTTGCCTTAATTTTTTATTAAAAACATCGATCTTTTTTACCAGTCCTGGTCTTGGTCTTGCAACAGTTAGGCGGCCTTGGTCTTGGTCTTGCAAAGTGCAAGACCAAGACCGATTTTGGGCAACACTATTTGTGATGTCACCAACTCATTCAGTTAGCCAAGCTATAGAAGTTTCATTTTAAATTAGACAACATATTTTTATTTTTTATTTTCAATAATGTAATTTCGTAATACATCAAGCAATAAATCATTTACACCCCCTCTAAAAATTTATTATATTCACTTATTCTCATATTATATTAAAATTTGTGACTGACGAATATACTCCATGATTTATTCGCATATTACACATAATACTTAATTCAATACTAACATAAGACAACACAGACAGACCCTGTTCGTTCAATATTTTAATATACTTTATTGAATGAAGAAGCTTTAGGTCAATCAGATTCATGATCGTAGATTTATCTCCTGAAATTCAGAAAAAAATTTAGATTTTATTCCCATTAGCTGTTATTTTTTCTTCATATTGTTCTTCAAATTATCAAATAAAAAATAATGTACAGATAATAAATACGAAATCATGAGTACCAAGCCATATTCCGTTTGTAGAGAAATACATTTGATTTGACAACTAGCACGTATAAATACCTTAGGGCCTAAATAGGGCATAAACAGATACCATATAAATTATAAATAATGTTTATGAAAACCTTAATATTAAAATACATAATATTTACGCTTGAAATGAAAACGATTAAAAAGTACCGGAATCGAAGTATAGAAACGATTACAACAAATATTACCAATACTTAAAAACATAATAAAAAATGTTTCTGGAAACTTTTTATATTGTTAAATAAATAAAATACAAACACTAGGATTGGAAGGAAAGGGGTACAAGTAAATAAATACTAATTTATAACCTGAGTATATATTTGAAAAACAAAATCCCAATGCATTCAAAAAACAGTAAATTTATATATTGAATTCAATAATAACAAGTGTATTATTATGTAACTCTAATAAAATTTATTGTTTTATAATCACTATTTTATTACCCATTAGGAATGTGAAAAATCAATTTTTGAAAATTGAATACTTTAATTGTTTACTTTACGTTATATTTTTGCAAAACACAAATCTAGGATAGTAAAAAAAAAAAAAGAGAACTAGCTATTTTCACATTCGTTGGTGTAAGGTGGCGGAAACAATATTTAATCCATATATTTTCTAACAATAAAATATATTTACACTTACACATTTTAAAAGTGTAATTTTTTTTTAAATTTTATAATTAGAATATTTATTAACTCATATTAAAGCAAAACAAATTTAGAATCATATAAATGTACAAATACATAATAAATAATTTTTAATCTTCAAATTTTAAAATAAATGGCAACTTATAAAAAAATCACAAACAAACTAATCCTGGTTCTAAAAAAGAGAACTAGCTATTTTCACATTCGTTGGTGTAAGGTGACGGAAACAATATTTAATCCATATATTTTCTAACAATAAAATATATTTACACTTACACATTTTAAAAGTGTAATTTTTTTTTAAATTTTACAATTAGAATATTTATTAACTCATATTAAAGCAAAACAAATTTAGAATCATATAAATGTACAAATACATAATAAATAATTTTTAATCTTCAAATTTTAAAATAAATGGCAACATATAAAAAAATCACAAACAAACTAATCCTGGTTCTAAAATGATATAAAATATATTTAAAAGATTTAAATTATAACAAAAATACTTCTTTTGACACTACATATCGCACATTCGACTGAATAAAAACTTCTAAAATAATTTATATAGTATTTTTTCATAAAAAGAAAAAAAAAATAACTAGAATCAGCAAATCAATCAGCAAAAAAAAAATCATTGTTTGCAAAAATTACATAAATTCAGCTACAATCAAAGTGGAAAAGAATTAACAGTGTTTATAACAATGAATGAATGAATGAATGAATGAATTTATAACAATGAATAAACAGTGTTTATATTTATTTATTCATTACTAAATTTAAATAAAGAAATCTGTAATAGACTATAAATATTTTGAACTTGATAAACAACCTTTTAACATTTTCACTGTTATTTACAATCACTTTAATTCTAAACTATATTAAATTTAATTAATTTGTATTTTTCATATTTTCAAGAGCATTTGAAATAATTTTATATTTATATAGACATCATCTCATTAAATTTTTTTTTTTTAAATTCCAATATGCATTAATGAGAGATTCTTTTTTCAATTATCATATAAATCAACAAAAAAAATGATTAAATAAAAAATATCTTATCTGATAACATATATACATTTAAAAAAATTCATATCACATATTTAAAAAATTCAATCAGTTATAAAATTAAGATTGAATATTTCTTTGGTACAGCAACATTAACAGTTGAACAAATTCAGTCTTTCATGTATTCATAACATTGAGAATATTAAAAATGGAACTATAAAAATATTTATGTAAATTTTATAAATTTAACGTGATGTTAAATAGACTAAAATATATTATGAGTATAATGCTGAATGGACAATTCAATATGATCAATTTACTAAATACTTTCATTAAATTTAATAAGCTCGGAGAGTTACAATTTCTTTAGAATTTATATATTCTTCACATAAGTTCTAACTGTTAACGTTATAGTTTATTTTATAAAATTTATTTTTCTTTAACAATATTATACAAATTGTCATTTTTAAACTATATAAAAATAAACTGGCGGCTGACTTCATTTATAAAGAAGGTAATTTGGTGATATCATACCTATTTAGATTAGTGTCGGATTTTTAGGGTTTTGTAACTGCAGTCTATGCAATTATAAATTTCCTTGAGCTGGTGGTTTTTCATAATCTTATGATATCGTCAGTACTCTGAAATATATTCAAATTTATTATATGGGTATCACCATCCACATCGAATTAGATAAATTTGGATATATTATTGATAATTTCAATTAGATAACTGACTTTGTATTAGTGGATTCATGAACAATACCTTGCCTTCAATAAAAGATTTTAAAAAAAAAAATTTAAAACTCAGACTAGTTATTTAAAGTATCTTAATTTATTTTTTAAATAACTAGTTTTAAAATGCATATGTGCAATGAAATGATCAAATTTCATTCTATTTATAAATAGGAACTATAATATCACGTATGATTGATTACGATCCTGAAATTCAGGGTTTGTACTTCTTTATAATATACACATATATATATCATATATAGTAATAGAGATAAATGACAACCATATCATATAAATCATTAAACATATCCTTCTTGGATAAACTTTAAGTTTTCAAATGGGCATTTATGATATTTAAATTTTAAAATAAATAAGACGATTCATGTTAGCGAAATCCTAGTATCCATTTTCTTAAGACTTTTATGCTTTTTATTAAAAAAATGTGTCTATGAAACTAAATTTAAAACCATAAAGAATGAAGTTAATTTTTATAAGAGGATATAGAAGCAACCGTCGCCATGCAATAAAATATTATTACAGATATTTCTGAACGACTGTGAAGGAATTACTTGAAGTAACGAATGTACTAGTAAGTTACAAGCAAGTCATAAGGATTTATTCATATTTTGAATATTTTTCTTATTCATAAACATTTTTAGGACAGGTTAATTGAACATATAAAAATGTACGTTATCCTAGAATAATGCCGTTAGAAAAATAATAATATTTATAATCAAGAAAGTTACGCAAGAACAGGAATACGTTTAAGAATTCATTTTCAGACTAGTTGATAAAAAAATGCGTCTAAATTTAAAAACAAAATATTTACATACAAGTGAAAAAAAAAATACATATTCAATTAACATTTTGTCTAATCTGCAGTAGGTTTTTCTTTCCAATTCTTGAGAACATAGATGTCATTCATGTCTTCCTCGCTAACATTTAATTTCCTGAGAAATGTGTATACAAATTTCGGTTGGGAGAAAGTCTCAGCCACCACAGTTAAGGCCTTGATACCGCAGTAAATAAAGACGCAATTTAGATTCTGAAAACGAATTCAACCACAAGGTTAGTTTACGGACCAAATATTAGACACCTACAATTGATATTTGATAATAGTTAACTTTAAGACAGATTAATAAAAAAAAAAATACAAATCATCCTCATTTGTAATGCGTATTTTTTTAAGCTCTAATAAAAAAGATAAAGTAAAAAGTGAACCTAAATTAATACAGTCCATGAAGGGTATTTATGCTATCATTAGTTGGTAAATAGGTACTTTTTCTTAGCCAATGAACATAGGTCATCCTTACACAGGTCATGTGTTTTTTTTTTTTTTATTTTATGTCCTCTATTTGGACTTACGGACTAGAACTGTGGGGATCAGCAAAATTTTATAACATCAAGCGCATCCAATCCTTCCAGTCTAAAGTCCTTCGAACAATAGTCGATGCTCCTTTCTATGTAACCAATAAAACCCTACATCATGACCTCAACATCCCATTTGTCCTAGACCTTATCCCAGAAAAATTCTCCAAATTTCACCAGAACCTTACGTGCCACCCAAATCCTCTTGCACAATCCCTATCAAGCACCTCCCATCCCTATAATCCTCCAAGAAGGTTGAAACGGCAGTGGCCTCGCGACCTTTTCTAGATTGTATAAATTGGAGTTCTGGCAATGGCCAGATTCTTCACTCAAGACATGAGTGTATGTGGCTAAAGTGCTCTCGACCAATCTCCGCTGGCTTTAGTACCAGTGACGCGGTTGGGAGAGTAGCGCAGGGTTCTCCTGGAGTCCCCTCGCCTGATTGTGTATAGGTATGCATGTGTTTTTTTCTTAGTTTTAATTTTCTTATTTTTTAGGTTATTTTATTTTATTATCTATTGTACATACTTTTGATTATTATTTTGTTCTATTATTTTATTTTATTGTACATATAGTGTGAATGTCATCCTACCTCACTATAACCAATATCCAAGAGCCAGATTGTTATAATACTCAATAAAGAAATTTTAAAAAAATTTATGTCCTAACACCAGAGGTCTCCAAACTACGGTCCGTTGGCCGGATCCAACCCGCAAGCACATCCAACCTCTCAAGTTTCTTTGATGATAAAATTTTAAAAAATATAAAATTTAGCAAATTACTCACATATGAGGTTATTAAGACATGTAACAATATAACAATTATTCGAGATCCCTGTCCTAACATAATGAGTGTCCAGAGTCGATCTCTGCTTAATCTGAGCGAAAATTATTTTTTTTCTAATAGCCAACTTTTAACCTGGTCTTTTAACCAATGAAAATTCTCACTATTCTTTCGTTTACTATTCGAAGTTTATCAGATCCTATGTCGAACCGTGTTCAAGTGAACATGTTATGTTCAATCTGTTAGAATAAATAAATAAATAATAAAGTTATAGTGTCGAAACTTAATCGTCTGCTTTTCAATATTTTTCCCACAGGCTCACACAAAGAAAAAGAAATTAATGTGAAGCACTGCTTATTTTTTTTCTTTGTCATCCAGAACGCATATATTTTTTTTTTTTTTTTTTTGTGAAAGTTGATAATACTTTTCATTCGGTTAACTAGTAAACATTTAAAATTATTTCTAGTGAAGCACGTGATTCAAACTATCCCAGATCTTCATATTTTATAAATTAATTTGTATAAATTCACATTAATGTATATATATTTTTTTCGTATGCAGAATATGGGCACCAATTGTTAACCTGGTTTAAGAGTAATTAACCTCTTCAATTTTAACAATTATAGAAAAAAAAACATATATTTACAATGGAGGCATAAAATCTATTATATCTTTCTAATTCCTCTCAAAAAAATCTACGTTATTATTGTTTTTCAAGAAGAAAACGGCTTTCTCCTTGTTCGGTGGATTCTTAATGACTTATGAAATTCCCATCTTGATAAACACTGAACTATAGTTGCTAATATTCATAGGCTATGTAACATCATATGTAAAAGAAATGAACTAACCCAAATGATTAATTAATATAGGTAATGTAGTAAGTTAAATCTCCTGTGCCTAGATTCTGCATAAGACTACTTATTTTCAATTGGCATCAGAGATCATACAGATCTTTGGCCGCGTCATGTGATCTTCTCACAGAAGTAAATTTCTTACAAAACATAGTCAGGTCTCCATATCGTATGCATAGTCTCCTTGGTGCAACAGCAGCTTACCTCCTTTCGGACTATCCTGGCAGTGCCCTTCCCACCAACTCACTCGGATTCAAGGACTTAGGAAGTCCTAAGTTAATTAAGTTTTAAGAACATAAATTTCTTTTACCGAAACATATAGCCCTTTGACCAAACCTCTGGAAGGCTACTGACATCCTGAAAACTACAAACTATTAACACCGCTCGATTAAAGTATAGGATTACCACTCCTACTCCCGGTCAGTGTGAGTTGCCTCCTGTATACTGGCGAGTTTTGTATGCACTGGAGATAGGGGCAAATTTATTTAAACATTTCCTTGTTTAAACAATTCATTTGAACTGAGATTCATGCCCACGACCTTTGGATTTGTAGACTTTTTGCATTGAAAGTTAAAGTAAGTTTTTTTTTAATTTTAGTCTTTTATTCCATAAACTCTCACGATTTCTATTCATAAAAACTCAAATATTTTATTAAATATTTGTATAAACATAATTCCATACATGTTTATACAAATAGCTTTTTATATTACAAAAAATCTTTTGAATTTCTATTTTATTTATTTTTAACTAACCTTTTATTTTACAAGGAAAACCTATTAATTTAATATTGAAAAAATATTGCGATATTGTATTTATGGCCACTTTATATAATTAAATATTCTAATACTTTTCATGAAATAGGAGGATCTTCAATGCCTTTTGTTCTTACTAAAAAATATTCTTACAAATAATTAACAAAAAGTTTATTTTATTTCAATGTTGATTTAAGAAATAAAAATATTTTCGGGTAATAAACATTTTCAATTTTGACCTTTATTCTAAAATATCTTTTCACACTTATTTGTTTTTTCTTTTTGTTTTCTTTCAATATTAATTGAATCGACCGAAAAGTTTACAAATAAGAGTGAACATTTTTTTTATTTATTTGCTTTTTGCAAAATTTCGAATAAAACAAATATCTCAGTTGTTGTTTATAGTTTTTTTCCGGGCTTTCTTCATAAGAAAAATCTGGATGGGTGTGAAATGAATAAATTTATAAAACGAAGAAGACCTGTATTGAATAAAGAATTATTAAAAATATGATTTCTCCTACCTGACATTCAGATGCGTGCATAAGCATTTCACAAATCTGGTTGCACAGTGGGCAGTCCTCGCCTGACAGCCAGCTTGGGCAAGATTGTACATGATACAAGTGTTTCTTAATGATCACGGATGTTTTATGATCACAATTCTCGTTCCGCAGATATTCGAAGAGCTTTTCCTCAACTTGTTTTCTTTTTTTCTGTATGCGCTGAAAATGTTATGCAATTTTTATCAATGTATATTACAATTAGAATTACTTTTGTTTTTTTAATCATTTTTATTATTCAATAATTTATAATAAATATCCGCTAAATTGAATACTACTTGTGAATTAATTGACTAAACATCGAGGCATAATCTAGTGAAAAGTTATCAGAAGCGCTTTTTCGCAAAGAAACTTTTTTTCGCTACTCATACTCGAACAATTACTACCAAAGGTATTTTTCTCATTTGACTATTAAATTATAAAGTTATCTTCAAATTTATAATGATTTAAACAAAATTAAAAAAAAATAATTTGATAATTCAATTAGTGAAAAGCCAGCTTACCTTGGTTTGTGCGACCGAAATCCCTTTTGTAACTCTCTTTTTTCTTGGTGCTTTTGTAATATAATTTTTCGTTGCTGGCCCATATTGATTTGGCCCTGTTGAATTCAACATTTGGAAATCCATAGCCGATGTTGAGGGAGTTGGGCCAGAGATCTTTTGAGGAACTTGTGAAGAATGCAGTTCATGCCGAGATGCTGCAAATTGGCCCTGTGGCGGAGAAAAGTCTTTATTCCAGGTTGAAGGAAGTTCTTGAGCGTGAAACTTTTTATTAAAACTGTAAGGTGATTCTTCAGTGCAAGAAGAAGGGAATTGTTGAGTGCTGGAGGGAGTGAACTGTAGATGACGAGTGGAAGGTAAATCTTGTCTACGAACTGAAGAATGTTCCTGAATACGAGAGGAAGAGAACTCTTGGACTCGTGAAGTAGTTATTGGTGTTGGCAACCCCTGCAAGTTTTTGTAAGGAGTTGAAGCATTGTCATATGATCCACTCCATTGGGGTTTGCTTTTTGCTGGAAACCCTTGTTGTGTAATCAACTCTGAATTTTTAGGTCCATAGTCAACAGATTGCAGATTAACACCACAAGGATTTATTGCCGTTTGGCCAGTTAATTGTTGGATAAATTCTTGTCGCCCTGTGGTCGTTGAAGCTGCAAAAACGTACTTTGAGTTCTGTTGTCCTATGAAATTATTTTGGTGATGTAAGTATTCACCAGGATGAGTATTTGGATTATTTGCAATTATTGGAGGAGTTGTTGGTGAGATTTTGGCACCTTGAGCGTTTATTGTACCGTAAGACGAAAGACCTTCATTGGGTGAGAAAGTGGGACTTGGTGTCATAGTGCTCAGTCCTAGTTTCTGGGCATTAACATTACCCAAATGCATAGAAGTTTGATTCGGATTTGGTGGAGCCATTGGTGAAGAAATAAACGCATTATTAGACGGATGGTAATGATTTTTTTGATAATCACTTTCTTTTATTAAAGTTGGTTTATAGTTGAAAAGAAGTGGACACGATGGGTCAGCACGCATAACCATAGCGTTAGGTGGGAAGACATTTTCCATTTGTGACAATAAAGTGCCGTCTGGAACTGGCAAACAATCGCCAGTAAAATGAGTCTTGTTTTTCTGATATTGATGCCTGTTGAGGCTCTTTGACGTGCTATTAGCGGATGGAAAGGTTTGGCCCACGTGTGATATGCCTAAATCGAGCATTCCTGACATTTGTCTTAGTTGGCCGTTATTTTGAAACTGTGCTAGTGTTGAAGTTAGAGAGGGTGTACCCCGGCTTATATTTTCAGATGTCCACGATTTCGGTTTAGACACCGATGGGTTCAATAGAGAACCATTGCGACAACCCTGTGAATCAGTCTCCATCAGTTCATTGGATGTATTGAAGGATTCTGGTGCGCCGGTTTGTCGTGAGACGGTCGGTCTTCCTGGCAACGAATTTTGGTTAGGATAGTGAACGCCTTCCCGAGTAGGTAGGCTGCATGTTGGTGACGTAGTTACACTAACTTGTGGATTTAGCAATCGTTGATCACTCAACTGTTGGGCTACTTCCGCTCCATAAGCCGCATCGTTGCCGTCACAGGCAGGGATGCGACTGTAGTAATCACTTCTCTGATTTGCAAAGGAAGTTTTATTGATAACTTGCTCTATTCCTGGTAGTCGCTGCCTTTTGAAATTTAAACTAATTTCTTCTTTATCTTCATCTGTTTGCGCCAAAGTTTTCATGTTGTAGTTTTGATTAACATCATGCAATGTATTAGTTTTCTTTTTTTGGTTGATCGAGTTGATGACTTTTCCAGTATTAATATATGATTTTTTTCGATCTTCGAAGGGTTGAGTATCTAAAACAGACGAAAAGACCATTAAATTGTCTTCATATTCCATATTTACCACTGAATCTAAAATATCATTTAGTTGCGGAGAAATTGATCTATTTGTGCAGCTGTCCATTCCAGTAGTTGAACTGGCTTCAGTTATTATTACCAATTCCTTATCTGGAAAATCACTACCAACCTCTCTGTCGCTTACCTGAACAGTGTCTTCTGTTTGATCGGCCTCTGTGCAGACTCTTGACGATTGTAACCTCTGGCAACTTGACCTACTGTTTAAAGTTGAGGGCAAAATAATATCCTGCTTCTGAGCAGCTTTCAAGTGCTCGGGGTAAACTTCCCAAATAGCATCCTTAAGTTTTTTATGGTCTTGAAAAACTCTTTCTGGGCTTCCGGAATTGTCAGCGTAAATAGTATCTTCTTTATTCATATCTTGAAAAAACCAATCTTCATTTCAAAGATTTACTTTAGTTAAAGCAACCATTGAATGTCTTTATTGGTCTAAGTACGATTCCAAAACTCTTCAACACTTTTCACAATGGCCTAAAAAACAAAACATTAATTTTTAGGAATTTTATTTAAACTACATAACAAACATAAATTATAAAATAATTATTCTCATTATACATCAGATTATACCATTCATGTTCATATTATACCTTTTCCACCATGTTTTCTTAATATATTAACTTTATATACGATTTCCCGCAAATATTATAATTCAAGTCACTATAAAAAAAAATGTTTTAACGATTTTCAGATGGAATACTGTTTGCATCCGATTACTCATCTACTATATAAATTGACAAAAATACTATCGTACTTTTTTGTAATAGGTGGAATCTGGGAAATTATGGACAAATTTAAGTGATCTAGTTGATGGCTTTAAAGAAATTATGTTAACATAATTGAAATAAATACCTGAAGAATGGAACACTGCACTTCTATACCCTCTTTTTAAAAAAGGAGGACTAGTTGAACTGCGATAACTATAGAGGAATAGCACTATTGCCAACTGTATATAAAGTCCTTTCCATAGCTATTAGTAAAAGACTAGCTTCATGTGGAGAAAGAATTTGCGGAGACTATCAATGTGGTTTCAGGAAAAATAGATCAACAGTGGATTACATCTTTGCTGTAAGACAAATGCTAGAGAAAACATACGAGCATAACGTGGATCTGCACCATGTCTTTATAGATTTCTAGCAGGCGTATGATTCTATAGAAAGGAATTACAGAAAGCTATGAGGATGCTGGGAATTCCTGAAAAATTGATTGTCTTGAGACGCTAAGAGATACCAAATGTAAGGTCAAGATTCAAAACGTCCTCTCTAACAGCTTTGAGGTACAACAGGGGTTGAAGCAGAGATGCCCTATATCACCAGTCCTCTTTAATCTAGCGCTGGAGCGGGCTGTTAGAGCAATAAGGGCCAACCCTCGAGGGGGTTCTATTCAACTATATTCAATCGACTTGCTCAATGTCTTGCATACGCAGACGATATTCTTATCAGTGCTCGCACATTGTCGGCTCTTGCTGGATCTATAGAAGAATACGATGCGACAGCAATGCAACTTGGCCTGAGGATAAACGAGTCTTTACCTGAAGTCCTCAGGGAATAATGTAGCTATGCATGAATATGTTCAAATTAATATGTTAATGAATATGTTGTTGTTTTTTTGCCCTTGCAAAAATACTGAAATCCAAGTACAGTTACTTGGTCAGTACTACCAGGTCAGTACCTGGAGTCCTGAGGAAAATATACGGTCCGAAGAAAATAAATGACCAGTGGCGAATACGGAAAAATGACAAGCTATATGAGCTGTATAAAAATGATGACATTGTAGCCACTGTCAAAAGGAGCCGGCTCAGATGGCTAGGCCATGTAGAGAGAATGGAGGAGAATAGGTTGCCTAGGAAACTTCTCTATAACCGCCCAGGTTATAGAGCCTTAGGGGAAGATCCCGGCTGCGGTGGATCAACGACGTGGAGGAGGACCTCAGCCGATATATATATATGTGTATATTAAGGTTGAAATCCTTGCAATATATATATTCAGGTTTCTAACGCTTGAATCTGAGCCTATAAAAAGTATTATCTAGCTTCAAGATTTAAGAGGTAAGAGTAATTTGTGGTGAAACGTTCAACGCAGAAATGGGGAGTGGGCTCCTGTCCACTATAAATGTGGTTATAGTATAAATTATAAAGGTTACATTAGTCACAAATCAGTTAAGAATATATCATATAGACATAATAGAACAAACATGTAGTAATACAGAACTTAGTGTTGTGTGAACTTTACCAAAACTTGTAATGAAAGTTTATCAGCCAACTATACAAAGTTCAGATCGTTTATAATTGGCATTACACTAACATATCAGTGTTTAATATTTTAATCTTAATAACTTTATTAAAAATCATTTTATTTTGTAATTATTAATTATGGTAACTACTCTAATAATATGTATAAAAGTAGATTTGTAAAAATATAAATGTAAAACATGTTAATGAACACCTGAGTTCTCAAGACGAAAAATCCTGTATTGATGTGGATTTTATTTGTGGATTCAATATCAATTTTTATATTGCCAACATTAACTTCTTAAATGGATTCTTTCTAAAATAAATATGTTTTTTTAGATGCAAATCGAAAGTGAAATAAACGGATCCACATTTAAATATGAAAATAATATTTATTATTTATATTTATTTATTTATATTTTTTTATATTTGTATATGATTTTTTTATATATTATTCATATTTATTATTTATTAAAATAAATACTTCAATCCTTAGTATCCATTGATTGTTAATAGATTATTTGGGAACTATTAATAAAACAGTATAGAGAAAAGTGGAATACAAATGATTAAATTTCAGATTAATGAAAGTCGTATTTCGAAAAAAAAATTAAAATACAGAAATAATGTTAAATTGTTACTTTTTAAATTTTATTTCATAACAATACCATAACGAATCGAAAAAAAAAATGCTATGAATATACTACAATTTCCAACTAAATTGTGATTAATTATGTTTGGTAAACAAAATAATAAATAAAATATTTATAAATATATTGCATTTATCACATCTGTTCTAAATTATTTTACTTTGGCTTCTTATTATTTTATTTTGAAAAAAATAAAAATAATAATAAAAATGGAATTGGCTGGCTTTAAGGTTCCCCTTTTGATTTGTTTTATATGTATGTATATACAGTTTTATATATATATTTACATACAAAATAAATTGAATCCTAAATCAAGTCTATTACTTATATCTAAGAAGAATATCAAAAATAAAAGCATTTTCTCCAAAAACAATTAAATCAGATGTGAGATAATTAATTCATTTCATGAAAGTTTCAAAGCTCTTTACAATAAAATACAGAATTGAAAATAGATTTAACTGTCTGGTTTTGCCATTATGCGCCTAAAATAATAATGTAACATAAACTGAAATATTTTAAGGTTAAAAGAAAATTGTACCTAGATATGTATTCACATGATGCAGTTGTAATTTTCTTAGTTTAATTATTCTAAAAATGTAATGTTTTATATGTATATATATATATATATATATTTAGTTGAGTGTGTGTAATGTTTTTTATATATTTAAAGAAATATGCAAAAAATATCTAATATTTTTGGTAAGTTAAAGTACATTAAGGTATTTAAATGTATCCCATCTCTTATATGCAGGTACTTTAAATATATTTTTATTAATGAATAATTAAAAATTGAAGTCTGATTAAACTAATACATAATTTTACCTACAAAGTTTCAATTTTAATAAAGTAAACTCAATTAATTATACATTTTTTATCAACTTTAAATAATTTTATCACTTTTTTAATGTTATTTCCGATATTAATTACTTTTCTTAAGATTGAAAAAAAACTACTTAAAGGATCTCCAGTAATTTCAATAAGAATTTTAATATAAAATCTAGGGGGTAGAAATTTGCCATTAAGTCAATTATTATATATCAAACAAATTTTGTTAAATCAATATGAGACATTGTAAAATAAACAAATATAAACTGAAATCGATTATTATGGCAATTTATATCAAAGAGAGAATTAAAGGTTCTATGTTTTATCAGCATTAATTAATCATTAGACAACACCCTCCGCCATATTGTATCAAAGGCAGGATTTTTGCCATCATATTCTCTAATTATGGTTAGAAATATGTTATTAATATAAATGTTTAAACGTTAATGTAATACTTACGATTGAAAAAGTGAATTATACAAAGGTAAAACTAACGAGTCTGATCTGGGGCGACGCCTTCAGTGTCTTGCACAGTCCGCCATTGCAACCTGACTAACCTTAAACCTTACTTTTCCGTAACAAATGCGATTACACTGACTTTGTGTTTTAATTTTTCTAATAATCAACGTTTTACATTTACAGATAGTAAGAAAGTATCAAAATTCGGAAATTTTAATAAAATAACAGATCTTTGACGTCTTTAACTGAATCTATTAAACTGTAGGAAGAAGGGACAGTAGCAAACTGGGCTTGACTATCGTTGTTTGTAGCTAAAGCGCATGCCCCACAAAGATAATGGAGACCAATGTCAGGCTTTCTGAAATCGCTGATTATGTGTTTATATGTTTATGAAAAATGTTTATAAGCGAAGCCTAATCAACGACCAATTTATTCAGTTAGTCGATAAAGTAAACATATCTTAAGTGGCTGATCTGTAGGATCACAAACAAACTAGGATGAAAGACTTGGGCCGATACCGCCTGACTAAAGATACGTCATCATAATTTTGGAGGCTTATTTGAAATACCTAAATTTTCCGGGTAGATACGAATTTTTTACAAAAATTGCATTTCGATTTAAAATGTAATGCAACAAAATTATGTAAGATCATGAAATAAACTAAGGATATATTTAAATATAACGATATTATAGCTATTATTTTAATTAATTTAAAAATAAAAATCAATCTTTTCAGTCCAAAGTCCTTCGAACAATAGTTGATGTTCCGTTCTATCTAAGCAACAAAACCCTACATCATGACCTTAATATAATATTGAGTATATTGAGTAATAGCTGGCGTATTAAAGTAAATGAATCCAAATGCCAACATATTAACTTTATTTACACTCCGACGCAATTCCTATCCACAAGTACAATTTAATTCCATCCAGTCCAATTTACTTTCTCAGACACAGTACGGTATCTTGGCTTTATTTTAGACCGAAGATTAACTTGGATCCCACATACTAGACTCAAAAGGCAAGAACTCAACCGTCGATACAGCCAACTTTACAGACTACTGAACAGAAAATCTAAACTTTCAATTGAAAACAAATTACTTATCTAGAAGTCAATTCTGAAACCTATGTGGACATACGGACTTGAACTGTGGGAACAGCAAAATTTTGTAACATCAAACGCATTCAACCCTTACAA